GTTACTGTGCTGCTGAAGTGCTCCTGGGCAGAGGATTTCTCTGCAGCGTGAACCAGATATCACGATTGGCTTCCTTATCGCAACATGTGGGTGAGGATCCTCCCAACGGGATTGAGAGTTGAAACACTGAAAGGAGGACACTGAATATACTGATGGTGCAATGGTATCTTCCAGAGGGAATAGGAAAATCACCATTCTTCCCAGTGTGCCCTGAGAGTTGGAGGGTAGAAAATAGGAGGATTTCAGTACAGGATCCTGTTAACTGATGTTGGGGGTTGGAACTAGATGATCTTTAAGGTCCCTTCCAACCCAAACCATTCTATGATTCTATGTTACGCTGCAGCTGAGGAGTCCTCACATCTCTTTCTCCCTTGCTCCTTTGTTGAGAGCCATTATCTACATCATTAGAAGATTTTTCACCTGTAAGTGCGGCAGATGCAGTGACAGAGGCCTCCATACTGTGCTCAACCCATCCAAGCTCTCGTTGATGTGTGTCTCAAGGCTGTTCTCTTCTGCTCTGTTGTGCAGTAACACATCAGAGCCTTCTGATGCTCTTGGCAGAGTCTGTGCTACATTCTGACTTACCCAAGGGATGGTACTGCTTCTCCTTTTCTTCCCCCCGCCCCTTTTCTCTACTTAACCTACCTTCATGCTCCTGTTGCATTACACGTGATCCGAACAGTGAACACTGAGACACTAAATAGAATAAAAGCTTTGAATCCCAAATGTGCTGGGGCTGTTTGAAACAAGGCTTACAGGAAGAGAAGGTAAGTCTGTTGTGGGAGGAGGAACAGGGGAATGAGGCAGTGAAGGGCATCTGTCCGTTACAGGGATTACCTCCGTCCTGGTAGAAGAGATGGATGCCCACAGTTGTCTTACAGAGGATTGGCTTGAAGGAGGGCAGCAAATAACTGAGCAGGAGTACTGCTGCTCCTCAGCAGGCAGGCTGGCCACAAGAGCTGATAAGGGAAAGTGTCCTCAAAAGCAGCTGTGTGGTGGAGGAGCGGAGAGCCTCTTTCACTGCAGTCATTTCAGTTTAAAGCAGGGAGGGTATCTGTAAAAGCTGGTGATGTCACTTCATCTTTGGCTATAATAATCCTTGAGAGAGAAAATTTCCTAAAACCCAACTGTATGCTTTACACCACTTTCACATACAGCCAATCCTATGGCTTCGTGTCCAATTTAAGTGGCCACTCAACATGTTTTTCTACTTGGTTCTGAGGCTGTAAATGATTGGTGTTCAAGGCCGCGTTCTCGTTGATTTGAGAAGCATAGCCAATACGGTCACCTGGGCTCACAGAATGAGGAGCTTGCATGCAAATACCGATGGCTGCTAGTTCAGTTCAGTTACAGCCTCCTGGCTTTTGTTGCTGGAGAAGTTCTAGTGACATTAATGTGAAATTATGGATGTTTCAAGATGCACTGTAGTGGGTGTATTGTGTCCTGGTATGGGATGCCAAAGACGGGCATCTTGAGGAACGAAAAGACTCTAGAGACTATTGCAGGAATGGTGCTGTTTTCCACTTAATGCTGAAATAGATCTCATGCCAAAACCATTCATCACTCTTAAATCCTGGAGCATGAATTGGAATAATGTGGCTGAGCCCAAGCAAGGGCGACAGTTCTGTCTGCCTGTGCAGCTGAGAGATTGAACTGCTCCTCCATTGGGAAAAACAGATGCATAATTTCCTGGCCAGTGCGGGATATGGGAGGTGAACTGCTGATGGCAGCAGGGAAAATGCAACGCGTCTGGTTTGGGCTCGGGTTGCTCAGGAGTAGTAGCAGCAGTGGCCTGTTGGTGCTCAGGGCAAGAGGGGCGTTCAGCCAGTTTGGACCTTCGCTCGGAAGGTTTGTTTTGGGTGTGTAATCGTCACTGACAGGCCCTGGGCATGTGGAGCTGGATCTAAAAGTTGTCAATCCTGAAAACTCCGGGGCATAGCTGCCCTCATTTTCAGCACGGGGTCTGCTTTGCAAGGAAACTACGGAGATGCAGGCAGCCATAGACCTAAGGATTCGTTTTCCAGTGTTCCACGTCCTTAGGGCCACTTGAACAGAGGCTGGTGCAGAAGGTGCTGGTATGGAAAAAGTTTGGTTGCCCTTTGAGCATCGATGTAGTGTATATACTCATTAGGAGCACTGCATTTTCTTTTAGGAATACATATTTCCAACCAGGTGGATAAATCTGTCTGCGCAGTGCACACAGTGCCCTGTGTGAACCTGGTGGATTAGCTCTTCTGAGCAGCTCTGAGGCCAGCGCTGAGTTTTCTTCATGTGAAGCACGTCCCTCTCCTCCCTGGTTCTTGGAGAAGGAACAGGCCGTGAGCGTGCTACGGTGCAGTGCAGTTCAGGTATAAAGATTGATTTCAAGCAGTGGTAATTGCTTGTCGTCCTTCTAACTGGAACAGGAAAATTAAATGTTGAGCAAATTCATCACAGCGGCCGGAACAAAGGTAGGAGCTGTTGTTGGGGTAGAGCAGAGCGAGAGTTCTCCTTCCAGCGTCGTCCCCAACACAGAGAGAGCAGCGTGCGCGCTTCGCGGTGGCACGTGAGAAGTGCTGCGGTGGGCAGTCGCGGGGTACTTGTCCCTGTCAGTCCGTGAGTGCTCGTGCTCTCGACAGGTGAGGGTTAGGCTCGTCCTTTTCAAAGAGGCGTCTCCCCACCGCAGGCAGCTCTCACGTTCGCTGTGTTTGGACGTTCGGTGGCTTCTCGTCGTGCTGTGCGGTCACTCGCCGGCAGAGGCCTTCAGCAGCATGCTGGTGGCAGAGCGAGAGGTGATGGGGTGGGTGAGAAGCTTCGTGCCACGTCTTAGAGGAGATCCTGCCACTCTGCTTTTGGAAGCCCCGCCTGCAGTAGGTGAACAGCAGCACCCAGTCACGAGATGGGCCTGTGTGGACTTGCTTGGCCGGCAAAGAGGTCAAGCCACGCTTATAACTATTAAGTGGAGGGGTGGCCAGTGACGCTGCTGTGACAGAACCACAGGGCAGCTGCCGTCAGTCCAAGGCTGCGGGAGACACTACTTTTTTGCTGTGGAGGCTTGGTTACCTTGGCAACCTGTTTTTAGCTGGATGTCTGCTCCGGTGGAGAGCCCATCTGTACCTGCTACTTCTTTGTTTTGAAAAGGCTGTTTTACAGAAAAATATTTGACAGGAGTATTTCCAGAGCTGGATTATTGTGGAATCTAGGCTCTGCTTTTGGTCCCAGGAGTTTCAGTCTGATGATGAGGTGATGATGGTATGGAGGGTTCTGTGGCTGGATTGAAAAGGTATTAATGTATCTGCCTCATGAGGTGGCTGCTGTCCTGGAAGGGAACTGCTGACTGTTAAATCCTGGCGTAGCCATGAGAGAGAACTCACTGGCGTGCCTGGAGTTTGCAGAGAACCTTGTTCGTTCTGGTTTGCAGTTCAGCATCGAGCCACCAGCTGGTAGATTGAACTGAGGTAGCATCTGTCTGCAGTGAGTAAATACCCACACTAGGGCTGGAGGCTTCCTTTTTGGGCGGCACACAAACTTCTGATACTCCTTCTGAACTCTGGTATTGGAAGGTAGTGGTCGCAGGACAGTATTCAGAACTCGACAGTTTTGTTTAATCCCAGATTTTACCAGTCTCCTCGCATCTGTCTTTTTCCTGTAGGGTTTTTGGGTTTACCTTTTGTGAATACTTTTTATAATCCTGTGGGATGGGTGTGTGTGTAATCTAAATTTTGCCCTTACCTCGCTCCTCTTCCCTGTGCTTTATCTCCTCCTGTTTCATAGCTGTACCCTTGGGCTGAGATGAATGGTCTGTTCTGCATTCGCTCTGGGGTACTCCCTGCCTGGGCTGGTTTTCTCTCAGGTTATTGATAGTGCGTAGGGGCAAGAACAGATGGACAAATTCTAGTTGTACCTACAAGAAATTGGAGTAATGCCTGGCATTAGTCTGTTAGATGCAGTTACTGATTAGTAAGTAATTAAGAACCTTTTTAAAAAAGTCTGTATAGCATTCCACCTTGACTTTGCAGGCTATCTAATTTAGATGTTTTAAGTCTTGAAAGCTGTTGACTTCAGAGCAGAGAGTACACCACGAATCTGTTCTAGGCAGGGGTCAGCTTTCAGTCCTGAGAAGCTATAATGCAGAAGAAAATAGCTTTGAAATTTTCAAGAACTAGAAAAAACAAGATAATTTCCATTTTATGCAAGTGTATAGAATACAACTGCTTATTGTAAAGTCTGTTTGATTAAAGCTCTTTTAGCCAACCTTTTTGTTAATTCCCACTATCACTAACTGATTTTGGGTGGTTACAGCAGGAGCTTTTGTTCCTTTTTTTAAGACAAGTGTGAACCAGATCTGTAGTCTTTACTGCACAGCCCTAGATAACTGACACAATAAAGCACTACATCCTTCCTTGTACCATGGCAGTGGCATTGTCACGCAGCTACGGGAAAGCTTTGCCGTGATGGGGGTTTTGTTACCCTTCTTTATTTTCTTCACTGCACACATCGACAAGAGTGACAGTTTGGGGCTGACTCTGCATGCATCATGTTGGTGATGTATGAAGCAGAAACAAGACAGTTGGATTCTCCAACTCCAAATCTCACTTCAGGATCTGGCAGATGGAAAAATCTCCTGTGAACTGACTAAGCTAACAAGAGACTTACCTTGAGCCTGAGCAGATTTGCTTTGGAAGTCAGTGAAGGGAAATAAATGTGGGACAGTAAAATAGCTGTCACTTACCTGTCCAGCACAGTATTTTATCTAAAAAAAAAAACCAAAAAAAAAACACCCAACAAAAAGCCTTCCAACTCCCCAGAAAAACCTCACAAATCAACAAAAAACCCCATCCCTAAAAAAAAAAAACCCAAACCAAAACCTAAACCCCCACATGTAAATCAATGTATTTCTGAGAGGTGAGCAGATGGCATTTAGGTTAGTTCATGCTAGATAATGAAAATGCCTCTAAGTGACTTGCTGAAATGGCTTTACTTTTAGTTTTATTTTAAAAATACATATTATTTTCTCCTAGCTTTGATCAACTTGTTGAAGTTCCTCATGTCTAATGAGACTGTGTTGTTGGCAAAGCACAACATCTTCACCCTTGCTCTTATGGTGAGTACAGACAAAGAAAATCCTCTTTATTTTAAACAAACTAATCTTGAATGAAACTTAGGAAAGAATCCATGATTTCTGGCCTAGTTAGGAGATACCAGAACAAGGTCACAAAGTGGAGGAATATCATTGTGTTGGTTTCGCTAGATGTTTGGAAAGGGCAGTGCTTGGGCTCACTGTAGGGTCTGCTCATTGAAATAAACAACTCTCTGTGAGGAAAGGCTTAGTTTAATTTTCCAGATTTGGTAATGTTATGGGGTTTTTTGTTCTATGGCCCTCTGCATAGAAAATAATAAAAACCTGTTTTCCTGGACCCAGATACAGTAGTGTTTAAGCTTCTTATCTGGCTCTTCTGTTCGTATAAGGAAAATAATAAAGCACTGAAGTAATGTAATACTGTGTAATGCAACTGAGAGCTATTTATTTGAAGCTTTTGGACATAGTTTGTATCGCTTCTGTTGCAGAATAGATTTTGTGTAAATAACCCTTGTTCTCGCTTCCTTGGATAGGTTGTGAACCTGTTCAACATGTTCATCACTTACGGAGACACCTTTCTCCCCACTCCCAGCAGCTACGATGAGCTGTATTATGAAATCATTCGGATGCACCAGAATTTTGACAACCTTTATTCCATGGGTGAGCACCTCCTGACCGGTCAGGGCTCCTGTTGACTGGAAGAGAAGGGGAGTGGTGGAGGGATGTTTGGGTCATGTTTTTTTTCTGTCCATCTGCTACTGATGTGTGTCTTGGTGAGTGGGCAGGTCTCGTGTACTAGGACATGCTTGGCAATTTAAGAATTGAGAGACAGATAAACTTGTTAAAGGGACAATTTATTTTCTTAGTCAGAAAAAAAAAATAGGAACAGACCCATTTCTTCTCTAGAAGCAACTTCCAGTGATTGGAAATACAAATTTGTTGGCACAACTGGGTATGTGGTATTTTGTGCATCTTCGTGTAGTTTGCATCTGTTACGTACGTGCTCCAGAACCAGCCAGCACAGAGAAACGCTCGACAGAGACATGAATTTGGACAAGAATTTGAGAAACTTTACACCAAGAAGCTTGCTGTGCTAGACAAATCACATCTACTCCTCTCATTGCCAAAACAAACCAAGAAAACAGCCCTCACAAACCTGCTTGCAATGACAAGCGAGTCACTGGGCTGAAGATGGTGCCTACTGGCAAAACAGGGAGGAGCTGTCATCCTTCCAGGAGAGAGGCATGCTGGGATGCCACCAAGTGACACCCAGCAGGGAAAAGAGGACCAGGGAGAGCAGGGAATGCATGGGAGCATAATCAGGCAGTGTGTACACAGGGCCTGCAGCCAAGGGTAGGTGCAGTGGCACGGGTGTGGTGCCTGCATGCTGGAAACTGTGAGGAGAATACCGACGTGTTCTTTGTTTGCTTTGTTGTGGAAGGACCTTTCTTCCCTTCACTCCGGCTCCCTTCTCAGCATCATCACCCAGTGAACAACAGGAGTCACTATAAGCTTGTAAGGGGAGTTAAAGGGCAGTGGGAGACAGAGTTGGCCTTCTGACATGGGAGACAGCCATCCTCACCTAAATAAAAGTAGCCAAATGCTCCCTGCAACTGCAAGGAAAACTGAACTGCCCTTTTGTACGAACTTCCTGCAGTTTTCATCCATTATGTAAGGGATCACTTGACTATTTTTGTGCCCTCTGAGCACTTAAGATTTTTTTGCTAACCCATTTTCTACTCCCAAGAATTGCAGCTAGCAAGATGAGGTGCTTTTACTAGCCACTGATTTTTCAAATGCATCCGCTGTGGAAGCTGAAAGTGGAACGGAAGAATAACACACTCGGATACGTACTCAGTTGGGCTGCAGTAGGCACACCTGACCTGTTGAAACAGTTGATTTGTCACACGGGTGTTTTCCATCCTGCTACACAGAGCAAACCCCTTTGAATTAACGTTGTAGATGCCTGATGGGAAACCCTCCCTGAATGCATTACTTCAGACATTCACGTACAATAGCTGCTGTTCAGCAGAATAACGTTACTCAGAGCTGACATCTCTTCTTCTGCAGATGACACGCGATGGTAGCACGAGGAAGTGAGAAGGTAGCACTGTCTCAAAGTGATGAAAGCCACAGTTTAACCAGGTGTCCTGACAACTACTCTTTGTCAGTCCATCTCACTGGGACTAGAGTCACCCTTCTGTCCCCTAGCCTCAGGACATGTGTTAGCACAAATGAAAGCTACTCTAGCCTTTAGTTTTCCTGTTAATGTGGTTGAAACTTTCTACATTGAGAGTGAACGTGGATTCAGATTGCCTTGGGTGTTATTTCTTTATTATTCTTTATTTATTTATTTATTTTATTATTCTTGTCCTGAATCTGAACTTTATCCACATCTGTGAGGGTGACAGAGCACTGAATGGGCTGCCCAGAGAAGTGGTGGAGTCTCCTCTGGAGACTTTCAAAAGCCGCCTGGACTTGTTCCTGTGTGATCTGCTCTAGGTGATCCTGCTCTGGCAGGGGGGTTGGACTAGATGATCTCTAGAGGTCCCTTCCGACCCCTTCCACTCTGTGAACCATGCTGTGACTAAAAGCTTCTGCCCTGCAGTAACGGGCATGAGAATGCAGCCGCTGTGCTTATGGATTCACTCATAGCATCCATGTTTCTTAAATGGTCCTAAATTCGGGTGATGTGCTGGTCCTTCACTTCGAAGTCAAGGGTAAACCTTCCTTATGGAATATAACCTCCAGAAAAGCCTGTACATACATATTCATTGAAAGTTCCCTTCTCTTCAGGCAATGTGGAAATCACTCCAAACATTTGCTACAGGATCTGTCATTGTTCTGGTACTTACTGAGGGATGTGTGGGTAACTGCCACCATAGAAACACTACGGATTCTGACCTAATGGAATATTTTTGGTACTCTGGCAGAAAATAATTGGATTCCCTCGAAGGTCTTCCTTTTGCAGAATGTTTTTTCAGATCTGCTCCCAAGTCTGTCAGGGACCATCTGTGCAACAGAACAACACCCTTGTTTCTGTAGGGAACGTTTTTCCCTAGCCTGGTGTGTAATTCCTCTCTCCAATTCTGGATAAATGAGAAGGTGAAAAATCCATCGTGGGTGGGGTGGGTTTAAATTGCAGGATGTAGTCCAGCTGAGATGGAACCTTGCATAAATAGGAGCCGGAGAACAGCGGTGTGTGGAATAAAAGGTGTCATAGACCTGGGATGCTGCCCTGTTTCAGGGGGAAATGAACTTTAATATGCGGTGATGAAAGCAGTCAGATGGACCTAGGTTCTTTTATCCCTTCTGCTTCCTGTCTCCCCACCATTATTTTCTTCTGCTCACCTCTTCCGTGTTCCTTACGTTGCTTAGATGGGCTTTGAAGGGAGCTTCTGCCCTGGATCCCAGATCATCTCAAAGCTGACCTTTATTTTGATGTGGTTCCCGGGCTGCCATCTCACTGAGGCAGATTTTGCTGTTTTGGATCAGGAAGTTGCCAGTTCTGTGCCAGTGCTGTTAACTGTCTTTTCCTTTCAGTTCTAAGGCTGTCTACCAATGCTGGTCAATGGAAGGAACCCGCAAGCAAGGTGACCCACGCGTTAGTTAATATTAGGTAAGGGGTGGAAGTTAATAACCATTTTAAAGATTCTTGTGTCCTGCGTGACTGCATTCTTACCGTGACACTTTCACATTTGTTGTATTGAATTTGGTTTTGAGTTTGTTCTCTTTGTTGGGCTAAATTGCTACTCTAAACAGGGCCCACTGGGATAAAGAGAGGATCACCAGGGTTTGATTGTCCTCTCTCTAATAATTCTCTCAGCTCTTCTGTAGACTGAGTGTTTTCAAAGCGTGGCACAAGCTGTAATGAAGTAATCCTCACAGCATTCTTGGGAGAAGTTATACAGTAGGGAACAATGCTGTGCTGGCAGAGCAATTGTGGACCTAATGGATTTCTGTTGCGTGATTCTATTGCAATTCTGTGAAGCTATGAAGGCGACTATAAGCCAGCTGTAATAAGCAGATTCGGTGCCTCTTTTAACACTGCTAGATTTTTGTGTGTGTTTAGAAGTGATTATTTAAGGACACTGCAGTATTCTTAAACCTCTTCCCCCTGTTCAAGGGCAGAAGTGATGCTGTACTTGTAAGGCAAAGGAATATCTAGGGGTGCTTTTGTGCTGTATTCCTTCATCACAGCGATAATTCCTTTTCCTGGCGTCTGAAGAAGCTAGTACTGCCCAAGCTGGGTACTGGGCAGGACGCTCGTGGATCTGATGGATTGGAAAATGGAAGAATGTTGAGAGAGAAAATTTACTGTTTATCTCCGGGTTGTAAACAAACCATAAAAGGTATAAGTATTTATGCTGAAAATGTAGTTGTCCATCACTTCCCTGGTCACCCTAGACACCTGGTGTCTGTGCAACACCAAGTAGCTCAGTGCTGCTTCGTTGCTGGTACTTGTCATTTTCCTTACTAGGAAAGCGACTGTGTAGGACAAACTCTGAGGGCATCGTTCAAGTCGGTACACATCTCATGTGTCTATAAACCACCTTAAATGTTCCCTTAGTAACTCTGTAAGCTTAATAACATCACTTGTAGTTCCAGAAGATTTATTTTGCTACTATCCTTATTTTTATTTTTTGTAAACAGACATAAATGAACGCTTGTGGGCAGATAATGTACTCGGAGTGAAGCAGCAGAACAGAGAGCTGTTGGCAAATTAACATCATTTAATGTGACACAAAGTGTCTGCCCTGGGAATTCTCTGTATACCCAGTGAGAGAAGTCTGAACTGGGGAGAGATTAAAAAAGCAATTGGTCACAGGGGGTTTGCGCTTGCCTCTGGGTTGCGCAACCAAGATTTTGCATTAGCTCACTTTCTGTTGGCCTAACAGCCGCCTCTGTAAAGATTGGCACGCCCCTGAGACACGATACCACCGAAAAACTGGCGCTGCGACACCCCTCCCCAGACAGCCTGTATCTGTGTCTGTTCGGAAAGACCGTTTTGTCCTGGTCTGGTGGCTGCCCCGCTTCTGTGACAAATGTGGGAGGACTTAATGCTAGGGCCACGGGGTTGGGCCGGGTGTGCAAGCTGGGTGAAGCCTTGTGCACACACGCTTGTGGCTCTGTGTTGCAGCGTCGTGGAGATGTTGCAGGCCCAAATTGCCCAAGAGCAAAGGGAGAGAGGATGCTTGAGAAGAATAAACAGTGTAGGGCTGTGAGGCCGATGGCTTTATTAGAGAAACATGGTATGTTGACGAATGGCAGTTTTAGCATAAGATGTAATTATTTTATGCATTGATGAGGACACCCTGGATTGAACCTGGCGTAGCTTCCCTTTGTCTGGATGGTGTTTATGCCCCTTTGGTTTCCCCTGAGAGCGGTCCTAGTGTGCTTGCTCTTATTGGGATGGCTTTGCCGTGAAGGCAGGGAGTTTAGAGAAATCCACCTCATGTTACATTTTCCCCTTGGCTCGTTCCATCATTCTGGGATGTGTTTATGAGCAATGATTGCCTGCTGGTTGCTGAACAGCGCAGTGCAAAGTCAGGCTTTGATGTAATTCTTCAACTCAATACAACAGCTATTTAAAAATAAATAAATATGATTTGTCATTTCCTTTTCTGGAGGTTTTGGGTGGGAAAGATTACACATGTGATGTGTGTGCATGCATGTGGTGGGCTTTAACAAGTGTCTGAAATCCTGGTGTGTTTCTGCCGGGAGAGGAGTGGTGGGTTGTTTACAACTTTTCAGGATGGCAGTGCGTATATCTTCCAGGAGTCACTGTTGGGGAGACACAAAATCACGTCCTGCCTATACCCTCCAGTGCTGGGTTGGCGAGGTCATCTGAGTAATTGCTTTACTACAGAGTCAGGATGAGTAATACCTAGAGGATCTTTGAGACCTTCATGTTTAAACTCACCTGCAGGGAGAGATCCCGCCTTGTGTATCCTGTTATGGCATTAACTGCACTTTTTAGTTGGACCCTGTTCTCCACAGGGCAGTCTGATCGAGTTTTGTTGTGGCCGATGATCTGATTTTTCTAGTCCTTACCCCAGTGAAAAGAGCGGTCATAAATGTGCTCTCTGAGCAGCACGAGACGGGGAGGCTGTTCCTACCTTCTCTCCCTACCTCTCCTTTTTACAGACCAGTCATAATTTGTGTCCAACATAAAGAAAACAAAAATTGGAAGAAAAAGGAATAATAGCTTTATCTGGCTGAAATATTACATACTGTACTGGGAAGAGTGATCCCTGTTGCTGTCCTATCCCGTAACAGTGATCATAACTTCCATCTCTGGATTTGTCTCGGTGGTTTCCATAAATAATTGAGATGTGATGGACTGCAGGATCTAGCTGCAGCGCTGATGGGGTCGAAATAAGCAGCTGCAGCAGTTAGTGGTTTGAAAACTCACCTTCTCACCTACGAGGAAATAAGCACATTTTGAGACAAGTCATTTTTTTTAAGCTAATGAGGCTCTTTAAGATAACACTGTGCAAGTTTGCACTTAATGAGAATTTTATTAACGCGGGGTTCAAAGGGGCATCTCCTGATTGCTTACGCAGTGAGGAAGGTGGCAGCTGAATCCCTGTATTCTTCGAGTAGGCTTTCTCCTGCTCAGGGTTTTTCAAGGTGAATAAATAGATTTAACTCCATGATTAATGGACCGAACTTCCCCATTGTCTGAAATTCAGTCACATCACAATTTTTAAAGTAATTCTGTTTTTCTCCCTGAAACACTTTTAACAAGCAGAGAGTAAGTTTGTTGTGGGGAAGTAGGTGATGGGATTAATTTTTTTTTTTTTAATATGTTCTGTGGGCTGTTGTAGCATATGCTGCAGTTCCCACTTGGGTGTTTCTATTCACTCTTCTATCTTGCGGCTACTTCTGTTCCACATGAGCCACCCTGTGTGAGTTGTACAGGAGGAGCTTCTGCTCCCAAAGCTGCTTTGGGGTCCTAAAGGAGAGACTGGGGATTTGGGAGGAGTCTGTCAAGCATCGCACGGATGTGTATGAAACTGTTACGCTGCCAGTGTGGGCAGGAGCACTGTGAAGGAACATGTACAGTTTTACTTAGGTGAAAGAAGGCCAAATTGGGCTGTGCTTG